ATTTGTTTTTGTAAGTTCTTTATTTTCTTCTCAGTAAAACCTTTCAATGTACCATGGTGCCCCCAAACATTCTGCATCAGAAGATCGTTCTGTTCCTCTTTCTGTGGCTTGATCCAAATACCTCCAATTGTAGCTCCTTTCTCCCATTCCTGACTCCTATCCCTTTGCTTTTCATGTGGTCAACAATTAGAACACGATTCAGAGTAGAAAAGGAGTTTGAAAATGCTGTGTTGAACCCAGACAGCCTTATAAATGTCATTTTGCAGCTGACATCGGTCAAAATGGGACCACAGAACTCCAAAAAAAAAAAAAATACAAGTTGCAAACAGCTGAAGCTCTCCATTGTAAAACACAAAACGGAGGTAGGTGTGTAAATTTTGGTGTTTCACACACAATAGAGTGAGACAATAAGGTTGGATGTGCCTGCACCTTATTTTATGCAAAGGCTAAAGCTCCTAGCGGCCCCTAAGGATATCAGGAGGTCTCTATGCTAAATTAATGGCCTTTAGAGACATAATACTCATAATGCTCCTTTCTAGTTGCAAGTACTATTCAGGTAGCTCTTATCATGATGACCACTTTCGCCATAGGCTAAGTGTCCTTACCAATTCCAGGTATTTGACTTGAAGGTGGACAACTGTTACGCCCACCAAGGACACAACATATTTGAGGACACGAGACAAAAATGAGGGTTCAAAAAAAGATATTTTATTAATAAATTCTCTCCGTTTTAGTTGTTCTTGGTTCGGCTTCTTCAGATGTTCTGCGAAGAGAAAAATAGTTAACGGCCCTCAAATCCCGTGCCCCAAAAAAATAAAAAAAGAAACCCAAAGTAACAACAGAAAGTTGGACCTGGCAGGCCGATCAAACAGAATAAAACGGTACAGCAGGGGGCCAACCCTATACAGGGCCGTCGAAGCCCCTACTGGTACCGGACTAAAGGCAAAAAATAACCTAAGCGAAAGAAAAATCGAAAACAGGACTACCGGTCCCGCCAGGCCAAAAACCTCAAGAAAAAAGTAAGAAAAAGTTAACAAAAATACCATATGGCAGGCTGGAACGTCCGCTGCAGGCCGCAGCGACAAGACAAGTGCGCACCGCGCACGATGGAGCAAATGAAGCAGGTGGGAAGTGGCGTCCAAACGAGGTTGGAAAGGAACGCCCTAATGTGCTGAAGGCCAGCCTATTTATAGGCGGACGACAGCACCACAAATTAACATAATTAACTTGCTAAAAGAATCCCAAAATATATTAACAAAAGATCCTTCAACTAAAGTTTATAAGAAACAAAGAAAAGAAATGGACAAAAATCATAATGTGCCCGAAGCACATAACAACAACTTATACTGATGTAGCATCTGTTCCCTGATTTTATTCATTTTTCTGCTTGGAAATACTGTTACCAAAAACGGCTTCACCATCCCCAACTCAAATGTGTATTATTGTGATGTAACAAATCCTGAAAATGAGCTGGTCTTCTGTTTGGGCTTTCTCTTTCTAAACCTGATTCTTTTTTTTTTCCTAATTAATTAGGAAGTTCTGACTGAGCTGCAATAGCTGTGTGCACCTCTAAATTCAAATCCAGTACCTCTAAATCCAGTACCAGGCAGAGTTCTGTCATCTGCAGAGATACTTGGATGACTCTGCAGTCATTGGGTGCATCAAAGATGGCCAAGAAGCTGAGTACAGAGAGCTTGTGAACCGTGGCTGTTGAGCCATGGTGCACGAATTGTAATAGTCAAGACTAGAGCTGATAACAGCATGAATCATATCAAGGTCAGGATAGTTAAAAAAAAAGTTGGAGTCCCATTGTACACCTGCCCCAAAAAACCCACTGTCATTTAGACCAGGCAGACAGCATCTGTGAGGATCCTGTTCTTTGATCTCTCCAGTGCATTTGACATGATGCAGCCTCATTTGATCTGTCAAAAACTTGAAAAGATTCAGGTGGAGGCATCAACAACAGCCTTGATTAAAGGACACCGTTTTTAAATCTGACGGATACACTTTTGAATTAAGTACGTAGTCAACAGCTCAGGAGCACCAAAGGGGACAATACTCACACCATTCCTTTTTAGTCTGTACACCTCTGACTTAAAGTACAAGATAGAGTCCCGCATTCTTCAGAAATACTCAGATGACTCTGCAATCATTGGGTGCATCAAAGATGGAAGAGAAGCTGAGTACAGAGAGCTGGTGAACTGCTTTGTGGCATTGTGTGGAAACTATCATCTGATCCTGAATGTCAACAAAACAAGGGAGATGATTGTAGATTTCAGAAGAAATGGGAACAAGCTGAATCGTGGGAGAAGAAGTTGAGGTGTTGCTGGAGTATAAACACCTTGGCGTTCATTTGGACAACACACTAGAACGGAGACACAACTATGAAGTCGCCTAGAGGAAGGGACGGAGCAGATTGTGCTTCCTAAGGAAACTTCAGCATTTGCAGCAAGATGCTACATATCTGCTATAAGTCTGTGGTGGAGTGAACTCTTCTTTCATCCTCTGCTGGGGTAACAGCATTGGAGCTAATGACTTAAAAAAGCTCAACAAAATACTTAAGAAGGATAGTTCTGTTATAGGAACTCTAGTACATCTGGAGATTATTTCAACAAGAAGAATTCTTCATAAAGTGAAGAAAATTATGGACAACAGTGAACATAATTTTCTAGAAGATCTTTAAACAAAAACAGAGTGTCTTTAGAAAGAGGTTTCTCCAGATCCAGGTCAAGATGGACCAGTACAGAAGATTCCTGCCTACAGTTATCAACAGCTACAAGGCCTGTTTAAAAAAGATAGTTACCGCAACATTTAATTAATTTAACTGAATTTTCGAGTAATCTATATGTACATGTCTTTGGTTTTCATCATCAAACTTTGGAGGAAATGAATTGCAGGAATGACGGTAAGGCAGCTTGTGATTCCCATCTGGGAACAGTTTAATATTTTAGGACTTTCCCACTCTGCTGCCATGAGAGTGCCAGAATTTTATGTAGCGTAGGTGGGTAGGGGACTTTCTGGATGTTTGTAAATCATTCTTAGTGAATCTGAAAGTTTGGTCAGTCATGAACTCTTTTTCTTTGATTACTGGTTAAAACTTGAGGGATCAAAGGTCTGAGGAATACAGGAAATGAGCCTAGGAGGAAATTGATCTATTTAAACTTGCTCCTCAGTCCTTTATAACACTATTTTTTTTCCCCGAGCAATATCAAAATCCCAATATCTTAGTAGAAAGTTGCTCTGTGTGTTCTCTATCACCAGAGGTCCTCTCATTACCATTCAGTCAGTAGCATTTACCTGTAACTGGGACATCTTGCAAATACCTCACTATTCAGTGAATAAACTTGCAGTTTTCCTGTTCTTCCTCTCTTATTTATGCAGATGAATGAAATTATTTTAGACCCTGCTGAGGGCTCCAAAAATGTAATTTTCCAAACACAGCATGCAGAATGTTCTGGTGTTTTTGTTCAGCTAAACTAGAATTGTCCCCCTTAAAGTCTTCTGTCTGGAAACATTACCATAATCAGAAAACACAAACTTTGAAGGAATTCAAGCTGTTAGCATTTGTTGTTAAACCCACTGAGAATTTGAAAGCAAGTCCAGATGCTTTAATTGTTTGGAGAAATTATTATTATTATAGGTTGCCACCCAGAACAGAAAGTGGGCCAGATTGGGAGGTTATTTGCTCCAAATGCCGATCAGGGATTGGTCTGACTGTACAGTCTGATGCAGAACATACCTTATGCATAAGACTTTATCTGTTTTTTTTAGTGGAACATGATAGGTTTGCATGAATCACAGCAGGTTCTGTGCTTAGTTACAGCTCCCAAACCATTGTTGAGCAGGTGCTGCCATGCAGAGTAGTCATTGTCTTCAACATCAGTCAGTCTCCATCAGTATGTGCAGAATTTAAAGTTTACGCAAAGAACAATACCCAGTGCAAAACTAAGCAACGTAGGAACAATAATAAATAATAATAAGGTATTATTTTTTAAGAAAGAACTAAAAAATAGTGATGTGAAGAAATAAAGGTGCTGAACATGTGTTTGATGACAGGATTGACAAATTTACGTTATCCCTAAATCAGATGCACTGCAAGATTGATGTAGTCTAATACAAAGCGATGCAAAAGTCTGATTTCTCGCATTGCCGCAAGCACTGTTTCGGCGATTCCAGTGGCACGAGCGATGTGACACCTTTGCTGGATGCAAAGCAATAGTTGCTGGAGTTGGAAAGTCCAATTGTTTGTGTTTTGTTGAGTTGTGACAACCAGACAGGGACTAGATGTGGTTGTTACATACTTCTTTTAATCAAAATGGAAGCTAGAAAAAAAATAAGGCTGACAAAGGATGAACTAAAGGAGATCCTCTTAGGAGGTTTGTGGGTGGCCTTTGAAAAAGCTGTTTAAATTTTGCAGTGAAAATATTTATTAAAGCAGCAAATTGTTATTTTCACCTGAAGAAAACATCTTCTAACTCCCTGTAATAGTAATCCAAGTGTTTATAAGATGATTGAAATATCTCAATTCTCTCTCTAAAGGCTCAGGTCGGAAAACCACACTTACTACTTTCTTTGTTCCAACCCTGTTAGTGGTACTTCTTCTCATTCTTGCAGTAAACAATTTCAAGTTGGCCCAATATAAAGCTATAGGCTTCAGTAACCACTGGTGATTATAAATTCAATTTCAAGTGCCTTGAGTTGACGTGCGTTTCATTGGTGTTTAGATGTCGCTGATGATATATTCAAAACTTTGCAAAAATGAAGATTACACACTTATAACCTCAAATGTTTTTAATTACAGTTGAGGTGGTTTGAAAAATTAAGGGTTTGTAGTTCTTTGTTTTCACAGTCTGAAGTTTTAATAACAAAAGTATGTAAAAGCATTTTTTCAGTGGTCTCTTAGTTTTCTATGTTAAATATCAAATTTTACATTTCAAAATAATTCAGGAAAGGATTACTGTTAAATTGAACTAAACAGAATTGTCTCTTGTTCCTCACAGGATGGAATGGGCAACCTGAGAATAACAGAAAAGGGCCTAAAACTAGAGGGAGACTCCGAGTTCCTCCAACCGCTCTATGCCAAAGAAATCCGGTCCAGTCCAGTAAGTAACTCACACTTTTAGATAAAAAGAGAGATTGCACTGTCAGCTGAAATAATGATGTTTTTGTTGTTATGTCTTTATTAAGTTGATATTAATTCAGTACAACCCAAAGAAAAAGCTGCATTAAAGAAATACTAAGATGACAACAGTCATCAGGTGCGTCAGAGATGGAAAAGAAGCTGAGTACAGAGAGCCGGTGAACCGCTTTGTGGCATGGTGTGGAAACAATCATCTGATTCTGAATGTCAAAAAAACAAGCAAGATTATTGTAGATTTTAGAAGAAACGGGATCAAGATGCATCCTTTTAACATCATAAATACCTTTATTTTCACCTGGACAGAAAACTGGGCAATGCAACTGTATAACCGTCTACAAGAAGGGACAGAGCAGACTGTATTTCTAAATGAAGCATAGGTCTTTTAGCATTTTCTGCAAGATGCTGCATGTCTGTTCTGAAGATAGTATGATGAATAAAAAAAGGTAACCAGGAAATAAGGAGGTATGGCACTTTGATAGACCTCTGCCCTTATTTTCCTCTCTTTTTCATGTTTGCTTCTTCAGCTCTTAGACCTTTAGCAAGAGCTAAACTAAAGCATTGTGTGTCCGTGTGAGTAACTGTTGCTGCTAGACTGAAGAACTGACTAAACATCACAATGCCATGTCAAACACAGGTCCATTATACTTTGAATATATTACCTAACAATTATTGAACACCAAACAGCCCATTATAAAATATAAACTTTTTGGTGTTCATAGCTCCCAGTGCAGGTATCAATAAATGTGTAAAGTGTGGTGTTTCTTTGTAATAAGACACTTCTCCTCCAACTCTCATTGTTCCAGGAGAGTGCATCCTGCTATGAAAACCAGTGGGAGGAATGTGTGATTATTTCACGATGGATACAAACAATATTAAATATGCCCTTTAATGATTTTAATATCAAGCGAGTGAATTAAAGGATTCTTATTCAATAGCATGTGGTTTGGTTTATAATAACATATTGATGTTTTCCTATATAACTGATGGGCAAATTCATATTTCTTTTAATAAAAAGATAAGACCCAGAATGTTCCTGCATCCTCAGACTCAGTTCAATCCAAGCCGGCTATTTAGCAATCCAACCATCTGAGGTCAAGGCACAGCATTTCCTGTTGAATATCACCTCCTGGCATTGTCTGATCAATGCAACACTGTCCTCAGGTGCTCCAGCCTCTACAGATGTGCATAGAGATGTTTTATTTGTGGTTGTAGGGTCTTTCTTTCAGTTTTCCTTCCTGCTGAACAGCTACAAGAGGAGCTTGTGATACCTCAGATGTAACAGATAAGGAAGAGATCGGGGGCAGATAAAGAGAGAGGCACAATGTCCTTCTGTCTCTTCTGTAATAATCTCTGTTCGGGTAGTGGACGAACGGATTGATAATGCAGGAGAGGCACGGTTTATCTCTGTTGTCTAGGAGCTAACGTGAGCTGAGAGAGAGAATAAATGATGGAGACAGAAGAGCAGAGGGGGAATGGGGTGGAGTAAAGAAACAATGGAGAAGAAGAAGTGGTGATAGAGACAGAAGCAAGGAGACAGATGGTGGACGACTGAATTAGAAAGAGAGAGATGAGGAGCGGGGAACTCTTATAAGACAGAGAAACTAAATCATTCACAACATCTTTGCAGCAAAATTGAAATTAAGTCCAGAGTTCTCCAGGAAGCAGATATAGATAACATGGATAATCTCCCTCATGCACAATTTGGCACCCTGTTCTGGTGAATTGATTTGACTCAGGCCAACATGTGAGCATATCTATCAACATGTGATAAATACAGAGCATTAGCTGGCAGGTACATTAAAGATGGCTGGAAACGGCTTTAGTCCCCTCATAAAATATACATATTTATTGCTGCCAGAAGAGTATTGGAAGTGGAGATGATGTCTGCTCCTATTAAAGTGAGAAGGGAGATGAATATAAAATCAGACTAAGAATAGAAAAATGAAAAGGGGTGAAGGAAGTCAAAGCAGCTGAGGCAAGTGAAGTTATATGGCATTATCCAACTGAAGCATGTTGCAAAAGGTAAGAAAGCTCAAGAAAAGGCTGCACGGAATAAGAATCAAAATCAGACATTAAAAAAAAAAAATATATATTTTTTTATTTTATTTTGGTAATTAATTGGATTTTGATACAAGAAACCATCATCAATGTTCTCATTAATAGTGGTAAAACTTCCTCAGCATTTTCAATAAATTTGATCATATTGAAAGTTCCTTAAGCAGACTCAGGTGCATAGGGATAAGGTTAAATGTAAAGACTTTTTGTATTCTTTATTTTGCTTTGAGGATGATAGGTTCAAATTTAGTTTGCTAAATTTGAAATAGACTGTCATCTCAAAAAACTCATTATTATTTAATATTTATATAAAACCCTCTCCTCTGTTTCCCTGCTTCCATCATGGAGCTGTCGTGCTGGGCTTTATTTGTCTATAGCAAAGAGGGAAGGATCAGGAACGTCCACAAACAAAAATCACCTTGAGTGGATATATTAAAAATATCTGCATGCATGAAACTTATAAATGAGATTCAGCACAAAAAAAGTAAGCCAGCAATGTTCCCAGTGTGTATTCTTCTCTTAGAGATGGAAAATGTTCAAATAAAAGTCACAGAAATAAAGAGTGCTCTCCTTCTCCTTGAGATGAGCACAGCCGCAGGTAATGAGAGCTAACGAATGAGCAATGAGCTGTCAGCGCCATAAGGTACGCACACTTAAGTTAGGAACTTAGAAAAGTATAGTAAACCTTTTTTGTATAGGACCACACAGAAAATATTGGAAGGGTTACAATTTAAAGTTTTCATCCTCACAGTCTGTCTGCATTAAAACTCCAAACTCTGGAATTTCTTTGCTATGAGGGAAAACTCATAAATTAGAATTTTACATTATTCATTATCTCACGCCCCACTCAAAGGCACTGACAAAAATGGGAGACAGACGAGCAGAGCCATAGAAAGAATTATTTATTTTATCCGAAATATGATATAGTAGAACTGCCCAGCCAGTCAGAAGTGTGGACCAATGCTGCTTGTCATTTCCCGATCCGTCCCGGAAGCACGATCCGTTCTGCACATGCGCCATCAGCTCATGTGCGCATCCAGATATACATCCGGGTCGTCCTCGATTTTATTTTGTTAAAAATACCTAAATGACGTTTTTCATTCCCAAAAATAGTAAACGTACTAAAATATAATGTGTTAAAGGTTGATAATGTATTTCCTGAGAAAATGAATGCCTTAACATCCTTTATGTTTTATAACTCTTCTCTGCCTGGAAATGGGATCTTCTAGCGGCTAACTTTTTCAGCTTTGGATTTAAATGTGAATCTAGTCTTTTAGAGTTTTATGTTTTCGTTTCGTTTTAACCTTATGTTATATAGAGCGTAATCTAAAGAAAGAAACAACTAAAATGCAGATAAACTAGCCTGGGTGCCATTCCGAACTTAGTCCCGACCACAACGTTTGAGATCTGACTAGAATTGAGTGGGACTACGTCAAGCTACAGATAAACATGGTTTAGTCATATTTTGCGGGACTGCTCTGAGCTTGTCTGATGATGATGTCAGAGTAGCAGTTTAACAAAGAAAATGTAAAAAGCATAAAAATTGTTTCACAAAAGACATAAAACATTTTTTTAAAGATGTGTATTAGCATTCTTTAGTGAGTTAAGGATAGAAATAAGTAGGTTAAGTACCATAGTTACATTATTTATGGACACCCGGATGTATATCTATTTGCGCAGGATGGATCGTGCTTCCTGGACGGATCGGGTAGTGCCACTGATTGTTCCGGTCTTGTCTGGAGGCCAAATAAAGCAGGGATGTCAGTATTTATCAGACACCAAGTGCTTTCAATTCACAGCCCATCTACCTGCATCCTGAAAAAGAACAGAACAAACAAATAGTGGAAATTAGACACCTATTGGATAGTAGGGTATCGTCACAATTATGAAAATAAAAATCGGATTGATTTAAACTTCATACTAGATGAACCTTGAAATTATCTTTTAGAACCATAAACCAGGTACATGATTTTAATTGAGTGTACAATTTCTGTAATTCAAACATGTTGAATTTAATTAGAAATTTCTTAATTAATTTATTTTATGTATAATTATTTAAATGTAACTAAATCTGGTTGTTCTGCCTCAATATGTGACCACATCTCTTGACAGAATATACTTAATTTACTATGTTCATTTTTGACAAAATCTCTGCTTTTATTCAAAGTCAGCAAGTATTCAGTAGGATTTCTGTGTACTAGATATGCTCTGAATTACTGTAATTTTAGTTTACATAACCTAACAAAGGCAATAAAGATATTGCATTCTTCTTTATTAGAAAAAAGATTTGTTTTCTGAAAATATTCTAAAATTTATGTTTTTTCTTAGTTTCTGCATGTTATGGGTCTCCCGTTTTGGGCTTCTTTTTGAGTTTTTAATTATTTATGTCATCTTTTTAGTTGGTCATTGGTTTCTTTTAACATTTGTGTCATTGTTGTTGTTATTTTTTAGTTATATTTAATTATTGTTTTGTTTTATGTGTTGCTCTTTGTTGCCCCATTGTGACAGTCTTGTTCCCTTAGCTCCCTTCTAGTTACTTCTATCCACACCTGCTCCCAATTAGCTGATTAGCCCGTTCTTTGTTCTGTCCCCCACATATACACCTCCTGTGCTCTTCCTCAATGTTGATTTCTTGTTGTTACTTGGCTCCTGATGTGTTTGTTTTTCCCTGACTTCTCATAGTTTTTTTTTTTTTTTTTTTTTTTGGTTTCATGTATTTTGTACTTGGATTTTGTTTCTTTTGCCCTTTTTTGATTAAATCAGCAAAAATGTATCTCAGCATTTGGGTCCTAAACCAACCTCCTTCCACCCTTGACAGAATCAAGTTTGGGACATTAGTATCCTGGCAAAATAATGCCAGAGCTTAAAGTTATGTTACCATATTCATTCCAAAGCTAGACCTGATTT